GCTAATGTTTGTGAGGTTTGGCTGACATCATTCTCAGAGAGCATAACTAAACCAGATGGACGGGAACAAGACTTTTGTTAAACCGATTACACAGCCGGTAATATCCGTTCCGTAATGAATTCCTTTATTTCTTAAACAGAGATACGGGGCTTGAGGTCAGTCTCTGAGAAGGAAAGGAAAGTTAGGCTTATTTCTACGACTCCCTATGATACCCCGGCAGTTGGAATATCTCACAGAGCTCGTTGGAAAGCCGAAGGCAGGATGCTATTGAGCCGAGAGGCCTGGGACTTCCGGAGAGAACAACCACTTTAATCCGAATCCAAAAGGCCCCCATCGGAGAACCAATTGAGCCTCGTCTGGAGCCCAACAAAGCCAGAGGCCAATTTAAATATCTACCTTTGTTTTTGCTGAGACTTAACCTTAACTGTGCAGTCAAAAACAGGAAACAAAGCAAAGACAGAAAGTATAAAACTCTCCACAGAGACATGTGACACAAACAAGCACTTTTTTTGCATATTAAAAATAAACACTTTTTTTTCTGTCTTTGCGTATGAAAATTGACAAAAATGCAATGATGCAAAGTATAAAACTCTCTACAGAGACAACATGCAACAGAAACAATTCCATTTCTTTTAAAAAACTGCAATTTTGCATCTTCAAAATAATAAATTTTTATATTTTCTGAAAATGCGAGTTGTGTTTTGCCCACGCAAGGTGACTGCATTCTAACCCACCATGTCAAGATTTTTTATGCCAATTTTATGTCTGATTGCACTGAAAAATAATAACTCACCTCTCCGCTACAACACATATTGTTTTAGGCATCATTCATATTCATAGCACAAACACAGCAGGACAGGTTATGCATCATAATTTGCAACTAAACCACTAAAAAGCAATGGTATATCGCATAAAAGTGATGCCTCAGTAATTTTACAATATAAAAATGGTGTTAAAGAGCCAAAAGGTACTTTAAAGCACAGAAAGCAAAAGCACAACTTCATTATAAAATCATATGTACAAAAATGGCTTTGCATATATAATTTGACAAAAATAGAACAAAAAAATACATTAACATTTTTTTTTTAATTAATCGATTTTTCATGTTTTCTGAAAATGTTAGTGGTTTTTGCCCATGCAAAGCGGACATTTCTAGGGGATTGCTTACTTTTTCTTTTTCTGCCAATTTTATCTACGTTTGCATTGAAAAATAATAACTCACCTCTCCTCTACAATACATATTAAAAGTTGCATAAGTAAATCTTACTTTACCTGCAGTGTATATGTAATAATAGTAAATCTCAACAGCTAGATTGCTCATATTATTGCAAAATATAAATTATATAATCACACAGCTCTATATATTATATCCAAGTGTATCTGGATACATTCAATACACTCACGTAAAGCAATATAGCAAATCTCAAGTGCCTGATTTTTTTCATCACTATATTATCACCCAGCACTTTATATTAATAAGTTGGATATATATGTCCAACATCATCTGAATACATACGGTGTACTCGCATAGGGCCATATTTAGTATATAGGAAATCTCAACTGTCTGACTGCTTGTTTTGTAGTAAAATTTTAAATACATTATTGCCCAACTCTAATCTGCTAAATGTGACTATAAATGCATCAACATAAACATCATGAATTTCTGCATGAAAAGTTGCTTTGAAACAATGTGTATTGGGAAAAGCGCTATATATATCAATTTAACTTGACTTGACATCTAATTTTAGGCATCAGTTATATCCATGACATGATGGATTATGCACCAACGTTTACTACTTAGTGACTGAAACTGCTAAACCAAAGTCTAAGAAATGGTAAAAAGCATAATAATGATGCCTCAGTAATTTTACAATCTCAAAATAGCATTAAAGAGTCAATGAGAGCATGCAAAAGCACAACTTCAATATGCACAAAAATGCATATAAAAAGACAATTTCACAATTGCTAGCTTTCATGAATGAAGTCACACACTGTCTGTACTCTATAAAAAGTAAGCAGTTCAACTATGTCTCAGCCCAGTTGTCAGCGCAGAAGAAAAAGTGTAACGGCTCACAAGAACACACAATTCATTCACACCTGAAGTGTTTCTCTCAACAGGACGGCTTTGATGTAGCAGTGGAGGGAGGCAAACTGTGCTTCCTAAAAGGAAGTGCCAAAGAATTTTAATAGAGCAAACCGTTCACTGACTTCCTATGGGAAATGACTTCAAAGCAGCCCTGTCCCTCCAAGACAATGAGATTGTGGGGCAATCTGTCCGTCAATAGCCTGTCTGTCATCAGCAAACGACCCAGACACGGGTCAACAGGAAGAAAAGCCAAAGATAAACACTACCACAACACAACATGGACTTGTGAAGAATCTTGTACAGCCATATTCATTTTTTAATAATCTTTTGATACCTGATACTCATATAAAAAGGAAAAGGTTGGTACTAATATTTGCAAAAGATATCTATAGCTGGTCTTTTTAAAATGGAAATTGTTGGAAAGGCATAAAACATAAGCAAGAGTACTTTCGAAAATCTCAAAATAATGCTTAATAGTCCAAAAAAGCTTTAAAACACATAACTGGGAACTCATATACACAAATAACTACACAACTGATCATGCAAAACAATTAAGCATTACTGTATTCATTAATAAAGAAGTCACGTTGCTGTCTATAAAATCAAAAAGGTTAAACCATGTATTAAACATCCACCAAACAGTTGACGGTAGCCATTAGTCCCTTTCACACATACAGCCTTTACTGGTAAATTACCGGTAACTTACCGTTAAGAGATCATGTGTAAACAGGACCTTTTCAAAAATCCCGGTAAATTTGTTCTTGCAATTTGCCGGTATGAGAAGTTGTAACATTACCAGTAAATTACCGGATATGTGTGAACAAGGAATTAAGATTACCGATATGTCCGACGCAAGAACACGCTGACGTAAGAAGTCTGTTTTGAGCCAAACACAAAGCTGTGTCGGAGCTGTTTATATGGTAAGTTTTGCTGCTTTTAATTATTTATCTATGTACACACGTGCTAGCACAGGGGTGCCCAAACTCGGTCCTGGAGGGCCGGTGTCCTGAAGAGTTTAGCTCCAACCCCAATTAAACACACCTGAAGCAGCTAATCAAGCTCTTATAGGCATACTAGAAATTTACCAGCAGGTGTGTTGTGGCAAGTTGGAGCTAAACTCTGCAGGACACCGGCCCTCCAGGACCGAGTTAGGGCACCCCTGTGCTAGACGGACGTCTGACCGTTATACGTCTCACGCTCAAGACCCTGCTGTCTTTTCCATTCATCAGCATGCGGCTCTGCAGTTACTATTGCGTACTATAGTAAGAGCCGTACTATAGTACTACTCTGCTTGTGTTATTAAGAACAAAACCGTGTGATCCGTGTGATCACCCACTTACACCTGTCACTCAGAAGTCAAATAAATGAAGTAAAATTGGACAGAGAGTGAAACTAAAGCGCTTCTCCACAGGTGGATGATTGACATCACTGAGTTTACCGGTATTTTGGAACTGATGTGTGAACGGTATCTTACCGGTAAAAAGATGGAACGCCGTTGCATGTGTGAACAGCACATTTGTGTATTTACCAGTTAAGTCGTTCTGGTAATTTTACGGAAATTCACCGGGATTACTGTGTGAAAGGGGCTTTTTTTTTACTGTACTATGAAAGTCAATGGCTACTGTCAACTTTTTGGTTACCAACATTCTTCAAAATATCTTCTTTTGTGTTCAACAGCTCAAAGAAACTCACACAAGTTTGGAACAAGTAAATTATGACTAAATTTTCATTTTTGGCTGACTGTCCCTTTAAAAAAACCATATGTTCAAAATTAAATATCTACGTTTTATTTTGTTCTGAACATGTTTCGCCATACTTTGGACTATGCCAATAAAAGGATATAAATTCAACCAAATGTTTGAATGAAAACCTGCAACACTTTTTTAAATTTCCATCTAGCCAGTGATCTCTAGTCAATCACCATTCAACTCCATTCACAAAAGCATCAAGAGGTCAACGCCAGGAACAAAAGATCAACAAAAGACCCAACTGAGAGACTCATTCACACATCTGACCGACTAAAAAGGCCATTTCCCAAAGCTCAATGCTCCTGACCGGATGAACACTGTTTGCACAAGACTTTCACTTTCAAAACAGCATAAATCATACAGGTGCACTCTTAAAAATAAAGATCCTTCAACTTTTTTGCTTGCATGTGGTTCTTTAGAGATTAAAAAGTGTCTTTAGAGCAGTGGTTTGGAGTCTGGGGTTTTAATTCACCAAAACATAAACGGTTTTTGGGAGAAATAGAAAATAAAAAGACATTCTTGAGGGAAAATTAAGTTTTAGCAGGTTTTAGTTTGTAGACCATCTCAGACCAGCAACAAACCAGTTACCTAGTGTAAGGTTTTTGGAACAGAATCAGTTTTTGGAAAGGAATTTTTTGTGGGGTTTTTTAGGTGCTATTGGTACAAACATACCTACATATACGAGATATAAGAACAGAAAGAACATTTAAATAATTAAGACTAAGGAAAAAAAGTAATAATAATAATAATAATAAATAATGTGCTGTATAAATAAAAAAATATGTATGTATTTACATAATACTGGTCTAAGTTGGTCTAAAACCAGCTACCATGTTATTAAAGATATGCAAAATTACAAATGTTCATGGTATCAGACCTTTATTTTTAATAGTGTACACCCAAATAAACACACATAATCTGCCCTACAAACAAAGATACTTGTATTTTAACTTCCACACATTACAAAAACAGTTTTGTGATCAATAATTCGCCCTAGCTGCTGAATCCTCTCATTGAGACTCCAGACTCTCGCTGTAAGCAGGAAAGAAGCTGTAAATGTTCCTCTGAGCTGATGTGACGTGACTAAACTTGCTGGTAAAGTGTTCAGCTCGTGTCACTGACAGAAACATCATCGTTTTACAGATTTCGCTCGAGTGCGTCTTTACCTTGTAGCTGCATTTGTCCGAGGTTCCTCTCTTTGCTCCGTTCACCGGAGCGCTGTAGCACACAAACACGCACAAAGCCGTGAGAAAGTGAACGCGTCTCCGTGATCCGGCCATTCCTGTCCGTCCATGAAGCTCCTCTGATGGGAATGAACGCGAGCGAGTCTCCGCCGAAGATTGTGAAGGAGGTGCGAGAGCCTCACAAGGTGGAGCTCCCTCTCTCTCTCTTTCCCTTTCCCTGTGTGTGTGTGTGTGTCTCTCTCTCTCTCTCTCTCTCTCTCTCTCTCTCTCTCTGTGTGTGTGTGTGTGTGTGTGTGTGTGTGTGTCTCTCTCTGTGTGTGTGTGTGTGTGTGTGTTTGTGTGTGTCTCTCTGTCTCTCTGTATGTGTGTGTCTCTCTCTCTCTCTCTGTCTGTGTGTGTGTGTGTGTGTGTGTGTGTGTGTGTGTGAGCGTGTGTGTGTGTGTGAGAGTGTGTGTGTGTGTGAGAGAGAGAGAGAGAGTGTGTGTGTTTGTATGAGAGAGAGAGTGTGTGTGTGTGTGTGTGTGTGTGTGTGTGTGTGTGTGCAGCATAATGCCATTCCAATCCTACTGTTTCTGTAGTATGCAAATACAGTGCGAATACTAGCAAAATAATTGCATATAACAATAAATACTTAACATGTATATTAATAACATCTCAGAAATCCAGCAATAAACGTTTATTTCACATTGTAATTATATATATATAAATATATATATATATATATATATATATATATATAATTTAGAGCATTAAAATATATTATTATATATATTAATTATTGTGTTTGTTTATGCTACACATCTCATGATGTCACCTGTTTAATGAAGTAATAATTTTTTAGAAAGCATATAAATAAATAAGTAAATAAATAAAGCACATTTTTAATACATTATTGTGTAAAGAACTAGAGAATTAAAAGACATTCCTGTTGGAAAATTAAAGGGGTGGTTGATTGCGATTTCACTTTTTTAATGTTAGTTAGTGTGTAATGTTGCTGTTTGAGCATAAATAATATCTGCAAAGTTACGACGCACTAGAGGCGGTTTAGCCAATCACAACACACTGGGCTAGCTAACCAATCAGAGCCCATCGCCTATTTCTGAGGGTGGGGCTTCATAAAAGAAGGAAAAGATCAGCCCGTTTCTCAGAGAAGGGACAGAGCGGTGTGGAATAAAGGTCAATTATGTGAAAAATAATGTGTTTTTTTTAAACGAAGCATTAACACATGTTAGACTGCACCCCATAAACACAATCAAGCCTAGAAAAAAAACAGTGAACCACCCCTTTAAGTTTAAAATGATGTTTTCCTTTTGAAAATAATATGTGAAACCGTGCACATTTACAATAAATGTTGTATGCTTTGTGTTCTGATCACATACTAACATCTTTCTGCAGTATATGTAAACACATTTTCTGTATTAATGCAATAAACTGATTACCACACTATAAAAAATAATTTAGAGATTTTGGTATTTCAACTTTTTTTTTTTTCGTAGACATAACAAATTTATTATAAATTGTTCAACAAGAAAATTTAAGTTTATTGGCTTTCAACTAATCTGAAAGTTGAATGAACTAGTTGTTTCAACTAAAAAACGCATGTTGAAACAACTGAATCACACAAATAATTTTTTTTAAGGCAGCAGTGCAGCAAGTTTTTTAAGTTGACTCAACAAATTGTTTTACAGTGCAGATTATTGTGCTGTGCTTCATAATCCAAAGTGATTTTAACCATGAACAACAGTATATGGTGCCACATGATCTCATCATGTTACATATTCAATCTATAGATCATCTAGCTACTTTATACATGCAAAATATTTCCATAAAGCATAGTACATGCTGCAAAAATAGTGCAAGTAGTATGAAAGTATGCTATTCTGAACATGTACAGGATTATTTCATAGTTCATTATTAATCCATGTTCATTTGTACAGTGGTAAACACACTTCCACATTCCATTGTAATTTAATTTCAGGTTGCAAAACCTGACAGACCTCATGAGAGATTCACACCCTGTTATGACACTCTTGAAACATGTTAGACATCTGAAGTATTTTAGATGAGGGTGTAATCATATGCAATAGTGGATTATTGATGCATTAGTGACTTTTGAATGATCTGTAGATGATATGAGGTCACTGGACTGGTTACTGCATCAGTTGTTTGTTGAATGTGTTATTCACAATCTTCTTGATTGCTAAAATGAGCACATATTCTTCAAACTATCAATAATATTTAAATTACATGCAGTTTGTACTAAAACCAGACACATAAAAGCATATTCACTACCCTCAAATCAAACTGTACCTTCAGATGATGAACAAAGTCCAGCAAATAGTTTACTTCATGAAATGTGGACATGTGCAGGTGCAAGACAACATTTTAAAGCAAAAATTAGTACTAATTAGGTGAATTGTATTGTGAGAGTTGAAGTAATGGATTTTGGAGCAATAGATACAGTTTTCAGTGTTAGCAGTCAAGATTCTTTCCAAATATACATCACCTGCAAAATATTGTTTTCTGTAATCCTGATGATATTTCTGGCCATGTCTCAAATGCTGGGAGAAAGAAAGACCGACAGAAAGTTCGGCTCGTCTGCTCTTTAGCCAACAGCCATGATGTGCATCCAACGATCCTGTTTCAGATCAAAGACCGAACACAGGAGGCCGGAGGAATCGTGGATCCTCTTTCAGCTCCGCTTCTGTTATCGACACTCACATGAAAACAAGCTGCTTTTGTTTGCAGCTTTAAAGATGACCACACCAGCAATGCCCCTACAGCTTTATGATGCATTCATAATGCAGTGCCTGCATAAAACTCATTTATAATAAAGCTGTAAATGTGTGGCATTGCCTTGTGAAAATGTGCTTTGATATTCTGGACAAATCATAAATATGTGTCCCTCTTCCTGAAAGAAATGCATGGCTTTGAAGTTTGAAATGTTTTTATTATTATCCAGTGTTTTTAATATATTGTTGTTCCTAATATTAATTAATATATATTTTTAATATTAGCATGGATTATTCCCAATATTTTAAATAAAATTGCTCCTACCTCAGTGTTTTACTTCTAAACATTTTGGACTATAATTTTATTTTAAAATATTTTTTGAAAAGCATTTTTTGATTTCCTTGAAAGAGCTAGGAAACAATTTTCACTCAGTAATTGGTAGTAAATTTCACAAATAATAATAATAAAAAAGGCAAGTAACATTGAATTCAAATGTAATATTTTGAGGTAGACAGTATTTCCTTGCAGTAATCTTTGTTTTATCTAAAAAATAAAAAATAAATCAGTTTTTAGTGTACAAAAATATTTTTTTTTCATATTTTTTGTTTTACGTAGATCACTGTAATATATAATACATTATATTATATAATTATATAATACATTATATTATTACAAGGATTCAAATATTGCATTTGTTTGCTTAAAGTTTGTTTTTATTTTTAGTCTACACTGTAAAAAATATTTTTCATTAAGTTGTAAATAAAACAATGATTATGGTGTAAGTATGGTGAAGTATTTACTAACAATTTCTAAGTAAAAATGGTCTAATTTTTGTTTCAATTTTTTCAGTGTATTTGTTACAAAATTTATTTTTAAAAATCATTCGAAACAATAGCGCCACCTAGTGTTTGCATATATCACAACCTATTTTGGCACTATACATAATAATATAATATAATATAAACATTTTTTTAAAATCCCTTCAAGTATGCAAAACTGTGCAAGTGCTGGAAATGTTAAAATCCAATGACTAATTCAAATGCAAATGTAATTCTTTTGAAATGCCAAGAGAAACCCCCTATGGGACCCAATCAATACTTAATAGGTTTACTAAATTCTAGTTACAAAGCACTAATTAGTTTGGAGGAGGGGGGGGGGGGGGGGGGGGGGTGTTGTGTTTGCTCAACAGTTGGCAGAAGATAATGTTAACTTAACTCCACTTGGAACTAGACAATTTTAAATTTACGGTTGAATTAAAAAGCCGGATTAAAATAGTGTTTATATTGACTTTATTCTTTTATATTTGCAGCAAACACACAATAAGAAATACAATAAGAATCATTTTAAATCATAGTCAGAGATAATTATTCATTACAAAACAGGTAAAGGCATATATAATAAATTACAACATCACCGAGCGAGGCAGAGCAACGGAAATAATAATAATATGAACAAATGTGGATCTGTGACAATCAGCGTTCTTCTCTGCTGGTTTGTAAATCACTGAGGACGTTTTTCACCATGAGAAACTGAGATTCTCTGTGTGAACGCTTCAGCTTCGCTCTTCTGTTCTGGAACCAAATCTAAGAGACAAACATAAAAATATTAATCAAACAGCTGCAATAAACTTATTAAAAATCTCTGACACATTTCATCATCTACAGTTGATGTTATGTATCTTTGCAAGTCCTACATCTGCAGGCCTACATATTCAAAAAGCCCAAAACAAACAATATTATACTAAATAAATAATATTGGTTCAATATATAAATTCAGATCAGTCTTTACCTGAATTCTGTCCTCATCTAGATGCAGTTTCTCAGCAAGTTCTTCACGTATATCAATGCCTGGGTACGAGTTCACTTGAAACACACTCTCCAATATCTTGATCTTTTTAACATTGACATTTTAAAAAATGATAGTTAATGACAAAATGACAGTTTTTGTGAAAGTTACTTTTTAGCTATTATACAGAAATCACAAATAGTCCATGGCAGCTTTCAACATATTTTGCAAAATTATATTTCAAAGCCTGTAACTGCTGAAACTTTTTGTGCACTTGATTTTGGTTGGATGTTCATCTACCATTTTTAAATGTTACTACACTCTAAAAAATAATTGCAACCCAGTGCTGGGTAAAATAGGGACAAACCCAGCAATTGGGTTGGGTTAAACATTTAATCAAACCGCTGGGCCAAAACAACCCAATTGCTGGGTTGTCCCTATTTTACCCAGCACTGGGTTGTATTTAACCCAGCATTTTTTAGAGTGTACTTGTTTTAGAACATTCTGAGAAAATTCTAAAGTAACGTTTTCATAATATTTGTAAAATGATGAAATGGAATGTAGCCTAACAAACAAAAAACGATTTTGGAACGTTTAAAAAAGGTTCAGAGAACGTTCAGAAATAACATTTTCATAACATAAAAAGAACATTTGCAAAACATTCTTAGATCATATTTTTGTTAGCTGGGACATATAATTTAGACAAATAAATGTTATGGTTCTGTAAGTAAATCACATGATGTACAGGTCAACGTTTACCTGAACACTAGAGAAAGCCGTTCGCGTCCTGCGCCCGATGTACCAGTTCAGTGTTCTCCTGTACGAGTCTGCTGGGGATTTACTGTAAGATTGACCATCTTCATTCGCCCTCACATCCACTGGAGCATCACTGTCTGCGACCACGCGACGGTTCTGGCATGCTGGCTTCACGTCTGGAATAAATAAATGACATTAAAGGAAATAAACTCAAAAAAGGTTCGTGCGCACTATCCCTGGGGATAGCGATTCATGTAAGTGAATCGGGTTGTTCGAACGAGTTGCTTAAGAGAATCGGTTCAGTAAACCGAGTCATCACTTAAAAGTATTCTTAGAAACCAAACTGCTCTCTGTGTTTTCAATTTGTTTAGCCTAAATACAGTATCGGTTCATTGTTAGCCTAAATAGGTTACAGTATCGGTTCATTCATATCTCGAAATTATTCCCAGAAGCAAATTTCATTAATAATTACAAAAAAGTAACACACTGAATAAAACGTGAAATTTTGAAGTGGAAAGGAAAGAGTGAAGTAATATTTTCTTGTAAAACATAGTCTAATAATCTTTGTTTTATCCAGAGAATCGGTTCAGTAAAACTCCGTCGGTTCGTGCGCGCTATTGCTGTGAATAGCGATTCATTTAAGTGAATCAGATTGTTCGAACGAGTCGCTCCAGAGAAACGGTTCAGTAAACCGAGTCATCACTTAAATTATTCTCAGAAACCAAACTGCTCTGTTTTTTTTTATTTGTTTAGCCTAAATAGGTTACAGTATCGGTTCATTCTTATCTCGAAATTATTCCCAGAAGCAAATTTAATTAATAGGCTAATTACAAAAAAAAAGTAATGAATAAAACGTGACATTTTGAAGTGGAAAGGAAAGAGTGAAGCAATATTTTCTTGTAAAACAAAGTCTAATAATCTTTGTTTTATCCAGAGAACCGGTTCAGTGAAAGAAAATGTATTTTTCATCTATTTATTTTTTCCTAATATTAATATTAATTACCACTTTTATTATTTTATTTTAAATTATAGGCAATTTACATGAATCATCCCCAATATTGTTTACTTTTTTACTTCCAAATATTTAAAAAATATATTTTGGGCAATATTTTTTATTTTAAAATAAACGGAAATAGTCTAAAGATAGCCTATACACCCGGAAAATACGGTGAAATTATTTGTGCTACAAACCAGTTTGTTTGTGATAATTAATCATTCATCAATCATCAATTAAGATTTAGCCTATTTTGTCCATTCTGCATTTAAAATATATGAAAACACATCTCTAACATATATTTGTGCATACAGTGCGTGTAATTTTACCTGTCCACGGTCGGTAAGGTGCTGACAGCACGGTTCTCTGGTCCGGTCTGTCGAGTCCCAGGATGCTGTCGATGGTGAAGGTGGACTGTCTGGGCATCGAGCGGTTCTGATGCGAGCTGACTGTGAGAGAAGCCATCTGGAGATCTTGTCCTCTTCTTCTGGTGTCATCTGAGAGCTGGAGGCTCATCTTTATAGCTCCACACTCCCCGAAACGTCACTAATTAAAGCCTGAGACTGAACGTTTTACATGAGAACCGCCGGCCCTCCGCATGGGGCCCCTGGACTGCAGGTAATTCAGGGTCCAGAATGAGGCGTTCCAACCTGAAGCTCAACCTGTTATCTTCTGGAGACGCTGAATCCCTTAAAGCTGCTATTGAAAGAGACAAAACAGGCTGATGTGCCATTCTTTTTACTCACCAGGTAGAAAATTAGGCCCCGTTCCCGGGATTTATCTTCTCCTCATTTCCTTGTGCCGCATCTCCAGCATTATGAGAAAGCAGTCAACTAGTGCCTAATCTTATTTACCTTATTTGCTACTTGGAGAAAAGCAAAAATGAATATTTCAGTTCGAAATTCCATCACCTGTTTCTTTTATCCACAAGCTGAAGCATTTCAATACATTGGGCCATTATGTGCAATGCAGACTTCAAAATATCTTATACAAAACAGAACAAAAAAATTAAAGTACATCCCAAGTTCAAAGGCATTTGATCACATGATTTTAAACAAAACATTTTCCTTAGTGATCAGATCAGAAACACTGAGTGATCACATAACTGTAACATTGACCAAACAAATGTGTTTGTAGATGAAAAACATTATGAAACATGGTTGCAATAGCTTATAGACAAAAATCAGAACTGTGTGAATTACGAACACAAAATAGAAATCATTCTGAAATGCAGTAGGATGAACCTCACCGAATCTCTCAAGAACGGCTCATATTTCAGAAAGAATTGATTTGCATAAAGAAAATGAAGATATTTAGTATTATTTTAATTACCGTAATACATCACGCTCTTGACACGTTTTGTGAAATTCACTCTAAATTCTGTCACCGTTGACGTGATATGAACGAAAACACATGCAGCCTTAAAACATTATCCGTGAGAGCAGAAAACGAAGTCCAACATACAGTATTAACTCACACGTGCAACTTCACCGAAATAAAGCAACAAACGTCGCCTTACGTCTCTTCAGGTGTAGTGCATTCATTTACACACACACATATATAAAACCCTCTAAAAGCAAATGCAATTCAATAACGGATATGGTAAAAATACAGGATTCCTACAAATAACAACTTTCGATACGTTTTCCCCGAAGTGTCCATATGAATTAGTTTTTTATCATATTTTGCGGTCACATATTTTAAATCATCGTTTCTGCAGGCCACTCTGGAGAACCCTTGAAGAACAGGAAGTGATATTCGTGGAACCCAAGCACAGAACGGTTTCCATCAGGCCTCGGATTCGCCCGTTTTCTGCCCCTCCTCTCCTGCATCGCTGTCCTCTGATTGGCTGTTGCTAAGGACCAAGAACTGTCCATCAGCAGCTGGTTGGCCGGGTCGACTAGAGGCGGCTATCAAACGGCTTTGTTCCTCGAGATCCTGTAGGTTTGGAGAACACAGTTTTGTATTATTTTATTTTATTTTTTTAAAGAAATTAATACTTTTATTCAGCAAGGATGCATTAAATGAATCAAAAGCGACAGTAAAGACAATGTTAGGAAAGATTTCTATTTCACATAAATGCTGTTCTTTTGAACTTTCTATTCATCTGTGAATCCTGAAAAAAATATATATAGCACAGTTTCTACAAAAATATACATTGATAATAATCAGAAATGTTTCTTGAGCAGCAAATCAGCATATTAGAATGATTTCTGAAGATCATGTGACACTGAAGACTGGAGTAATGATGCTGAAAATTTAACTTTGATCACAGAAATAAATTACAGTTTACTATATAATCACCTAGAAAACAGCTATTTTAAATTGTAATAATATTTCACAATATTACAGTTTTTACTGTATTTTTAATCACATCAGTGCAGCCTTGAGAGGCTTCTTTAAGAAACATTAAAAAAAGACTTTTACCTTACCTTCTCTATCTGTTTTTGTTTATGAAGTTCTTCCTGTTGTTTCTCCTTGGCTTTGTCCAACTCTCTCTGTTTCTGTGTGGCTTTCCGGTCCTATCAGGAAAAAATACATGCATATCATCAGCATTATCCATTTTATTTGACCCGACATGAATTTCTGCACAGAGTGAGTCATTTGAAATCAAATAAATGAAGAATTTCCTCACCATCTCAGAGTGGAGGGCGATCTGCTTCGCCAGTCCTACACTGTCACAGATCTAATATTCAAGAGCATTAACATCACCAAGATGAGCTTTAAAAAGATCTCAAATGCATCCATATTTTTTTTAATCAGGTGTATGTACACATGTCCTTATACAAGTATAAGTTTATAGAAGTTTATAAAAATAAATAAATAAATATAATAAAATAGATAATATATTATTATTTATAATTGCAAACTGTTTTAGAAATACATATTCATATAAAAGTCTATAATTAAATAATATACATATATATATATATATATATATATATATTATATACATAAATAAAAAATATAAGTAAATAAATTATTGCATAACTTAATATAATAATATATATGTTTATTTATATAATAACTATTATATATATGTGTGTGTGTGTGTTTGTTTATAATTTTAATATATTAATATTATACAGTAATATATTATATAAATATATATTGTATAGTAATTTTATTATAATATATAATACACAATCAGTATTGTATAAAGCGCTATACAAATAAAGGTGACTTGACTTGATTAAATTATTAATATAAGAATTTATAATATAAATAAATATTAATATTACATAATAATATATAAATTATATGCTTTTGCGTATACTAAGATTATAGTATAATGTAATATATTAATATAATATTTAAATATACATTATTATAATGATATTTTAATATTAATGTAATATTAAATGATTCATATAAGAATTTATAATTATATATATGTAATGTAAATAAATTATAATACAACATACATATATGTAACTTAATATATTAATTAAAATTTCATATAATATGACATTTTATTTATATTTATATTAAAATTTCTATTTTATATAAATTTTGTATACTAAATAATTATAGTATAACATAATATATATATGTATGTATGTATGTATGTATGTATATATATATTTTTTTACATATTTATTACTCCGAGATAAAGGTATTAGTACCTTCTCTCCATCATTGTTTGACTCAAAGACGTAGCAGACTGTAACGGGCCGTCCGTCCACTCGTCCTCCTGCCGTCTTCAGCACAAAACCAAACAAGCGCTTGTTCTCCTGATGTGACGTGCACAGCACAACGCTGGAGAGAGGAAACTGAGGGATGACACAACAAATACTGACTTTAAAACTGCACTGGATTGGGTTTGAATGTGAGCAGTACACGCTGAATACATGAACCTTACATTCTGTGACCAAAAAAGTAACATATATCACAAAACTGTTAAATAATTGCTTAAGGACCAACCCGTAGTCTTGTGACTTGCGTCTGTGGGTCAATAAGCCTAGAAAAAAATAAGCAAAACATTTTAAGAGACATTAAACTATGTTGTAATGTAAACATAGACCAAAATCTTTGAAAAACTACATTTTCACATTTTCTTAAAGAGGTCATAAGATGCCCATTTTCCACAAGTTGATATGATTCTTTGGGGTCTTAATGAAAAAAAATTTCTCAATGGTAGTGTAAAAAACACCTTTTTTACCCTGTCAAAAGCAGCTCTTTTCAGATCAAGCCGTTTTGTAGCATTTTCCTTTAAATGTTAATGAGCTCTGCTGACTCCGCCCCTCTCTTCCGAGCTGCTCTCAGAGAGACTGTTTACTTCAGCCGCATTCATCGTGAAACTTGCTGATTAGCACATTATTAGGAAAGGCCATTTGCAAAGATTCATTACTAAACATTATACTCGCTTCTTCTGTAGATGAGGCTGGATCATGAATGATTCGCGCGAACATAGACGCATTTATGTAGATTCTTGTTCATTCTTGTCTACATCTGCTCCGGCGGTGAAACAATGGTGGACTGATGACAGCTCATTCAGGGCGGAGCCACCAGTCCAGTCTGTGCTGAAGCGCTGCTGTCAATCAAACAATCGTGGGAGGGGCCTGTCTGTGTGACGTCACTCGGCTCAATTTGAGAAAGGGGAAAACATTTAACCAGATTAAAAAAAAAACACTGGGTGGATTTTTATCATCATAGGGTGGTTGTGTACACACACTGCCAACACACATCTCAGTTCAAACAACTTGTAAAAGTGCATGTAGCATCCTATGACCCCTTTAAAGTAACATTTGTCCATGCAAAACTCACTGCCACAATATGGGTTCAATATTTTGGTTTGGGGTTTGTTCAAATCATGACACTGAAGTGCTGCTTGACATATTTAATGACTTGTATTAAGACAGGATCAGTTCAGCGTGGCTGTGAGACAGACAAACGCCGTAACTCACTTGAGGCATTCACACGTGACGAGCAGATGAGACTCGGTCATCCTGAAGATGTTGTGAATGGCTCGGGCTGCCAGGATCTGTCTCATGGTCTCATAGATGACGTCTGCGCTCTCTGTGGCCTTCACCTCCATGGAGCCCAGGAACCGAACGATGAAAAGCTGGTGCAGAATCGAGTCTGAAACGACATGCGAGACTCGGTCTGACTTCACACCAACATTAAATCAACATGCATTTTCTTAATAAAAGTCATACTGTGCACGCATTAAAAACTGATTTTATAATCTTGCATCAGAATGCAATAACTTTCTCTGCTTTTCTACTCATGTAGAAAAAAGGAAAAATAATATTAATTAATCATATCATAGCCTGCTTTGGACAATTCAATAAAATCAGATGAAAATCCCGGCCTACAATATGTCCCAGAATATTCTATTTCTCCAGAAAATACATGACATTATGTAAATTAAATGCATTGCAAATTGCATTTCATGTGCTATTTAAGCTATTAAAGAAACAGCACACACATACATTTAAATCCAGTCGGTTTTTTTTTAACTCATGTTCTAATTATATATATTTCTAATTTTGGCTTTTTAAACTCTTTTTGAA